TTTAAATGTGGTGCTAAATATGTATCAGCCTGGCTATGGGATTTTTTTTTTGGTCCTTAATCAAGATGTCTAAGAAGAACATGGGGAAATTGGTTGATGCCATGATTGTTGCTCAGCAGATGAAGCAGAGCAGTCAAGGTTTACTCCATGCTGGTGAGGAGGATGTAAGCCTTGATGTCTTTTACTCCATGGAAACAACCTTCAATCACCCTGAAGGCTGAAGCATTGGAGGTGGGAGAAGGAAGACATGAATGCCATGGAAACTGCCCTGCTTCACTGAGGAATTGCCATGGTATGTCTTTTTATTTTACTTACAGGTGCTTGCAGTGGGTCATCCTATAGCAGCAACTACAGATTTTGTTACAGTTTTGGGAATCTGGCCCTGAAGACACTCACTTGTGTCTTTTCTTGTCTTTTTTTTTTTTTTTTTCCCTTGATGCAAAGTGGCATACAAACTGAGCCCTGCCATCTAGGACCAGGGCTAAGCTATGCCACAGTTAACAGAAGCCTAATGTTGGACATGTTTTGGGCTCAGCATCCCCTCATGTTAAAAGTAGTGTATTATTTTAGTGTATGCACATTAGCAAAGGTTGGTTTTGTTTGCTGTAACTAATGATAATTCTGAACCTTCTTTTTTTAGGAACTGTAGTCGTCAAAAAGACAGTTTGTTCATGCTTTGCTGGTATGAAACCAGGAGGATGGCACACTTCATTTCCTTCTATCTCTACTCAGCCTGGGGAGCTTACACCACCACTTGCTCCAGCTTTGCTCGGTGAGTGTGGAAATGGTGTCTTTCTGGGGTGGTAACACTCACGGTGCACCATCAGTGCAGTTTAAGATGTAAAGGTTTAAAGTGAGGCCCCGTGACAGCTTGAAGTATTGCGTGGGGCTCCATCAGCCAGACCCTATCTGAGTGCAAACAAAAAAATGTTGTTGACACACAACTTTCATAAATTGCTTTGTTGAGTGTCAACTTTGCTTTATAGCACATTGACACATGCCAGTGCTGACACTTGTGGCATAACTTGCTGGCGCAGTACAGCATGCTTGTTGTGGTGGTATCTTTTTCTGCATTTTTTTCCTAGTGAATTCCTGATGGTCCAAATTGGAGCCATGTCACCAGGTTTTGCCCTTGATACATAGGTCAGAGGAGCTGTGTTGCAATTGTCCTGCTAGAACAGTGCCAACATCCCAATTAAAAGCCAAACTAGGGTGAAACAAAATGAATACTTTAAATGTACCTGTATTTCTGTGCTGTGAAGTGTTTTCTGCTGTTGGACTTCTAACATCCAAGTTCTTCCATAGCAGCATCTGTTATTTTAGAGGGTAAAGGTTTACAGGAGACTTAGCAGAGTTAACAGTTACCATGGGCTAGATGAACTGAAAACATCCTTCTATTTTGTTGTTTACTTTTCTTGGCCATTTTCTATGCTAGATGTTTGCACAATGCCATGCGAACATAGCTAGGAAGAGAATTTGTCCTGCTAGTATCACATGTAGGCTAGAAAAGGTTGTAGTCGCTGTAACGGTAAATTGAGTCACAAAGCTCCCTAAATGGTTGTGGCATGTGTGGTTAAAGGAAGAAACATCACTCAGGACTTTGACACTGAGTAGTAACAGCAAGAAGCAATGAAGAGACTGTAGGAACCTCAAAGCACAAAAGATCTCTGTGAATTCCCCTTTTCCTGCAGATTGAGAAGTGGCAGATAATCAACAAAACCCACACCACCTTCTTGAGAATTGTCCTGGGGACTAAGCTTGCAAGGCACATGAGTCAAAAATGCATGAAGTTCTATGTGGTACCTGCAAGCCGCAGGTTTCCCTCAGAAACCTGGGGTACCTGGAGGGCATTGAGGCACCAGGAGCTGAGCAGCTCCCAGTCAGGAGCTGGTGCAGCTGCACACTGTGGAGCTGAGCTCTGTGGCCTCACTGTTTTTGGGGCTGTCCTGTTGTTAGGAGTCCCTGCATTACACCACAAACTGATTTTTAGAGTTTCCTTAGTGGTCAAGCAGAGCACAGTATTATTTCCTAAGGTATGTGGGAAGGTTTTAGCCTGGTTTATGCCACTGTATGTGGCCCACGGTTTGCCAGGGCTAAGGTGGCAGTGAGGAAAGACAACATTTAGTTACAACACTTGGCAGAAGATGTGCTCCGAGGTAGCACAGACCCTGGGTATGAGCAGGATTAATTAGCTCAAACACAGTGGACCAAAGGAGCGGATTATTTTGATATTTAGGCCTGACTGTGGCATTTCCAGGGACTCTTGCAATGGTTTGGCCAAAGAAAAATTATCAAAGCAAAAGCCCAGTGTGGGAAGTGGTAAGTGAGACACAGAACGGAGAAATCAGCACATGCAGCACTGCATCTCCTGTTGCTCACGGCTGTCTGGGACCTTAGGCAAATTGCACACAGGGACAAAGCAATTTTTGTTCTCTCATGCTGGATCTGCTCTAGATGCCATCAGTGACCTTGGCAAGTTGCCCATGGCTAGGGCCAGAAGAGGCTTGTGGTACCAACGGGTGCTGTGGATGGTCTCTTCCGGAGTAGGGGCTGGGCTTTCCCTCCAGGACAGCAGCTGATAAAGGCCGTGGCTCAGTGCCTAAATTGTGGCCTGGGTGTTTGGTGGCTTGGTTAGTTCAGGGACCTGATAGCTCAGTATGTTGGTCTTGAGGCTCAATTTCTTTGAATGTACATCTTTCCAGTGAGTAAGCAGCCCACATCCCTTAATTTGGGGTGTTCTCTAATTTGAGGGAGCTGAAATGTAGGCAATAGATTGTATCAGATGATGGGGCTGTGTGTGTGCATTCCCAAGCTGAATATATATTAGTCACCTTGCCCCAGTGTTGCGGGACTGGGGGCTCTGAGGAGGGCATGAGTAAGGCACTCTGATACAACTGGCAGCCCCAGATAAACCTTGTCGGTGCTTGCTGTTGGCATGCAGGCACCAGTGCTCTTCTGTGTCCCCATAGCATGGAGGGGCTGCCCGCAGGTGCAGCGTTATGCGGCAGAGCCATGGTAAGAGGCTCTTTATTTCAAGTTTCAGCTTTCCAAAACACAAAAGGACATGCTTGAAATTCTTTCCTTCATGCTGATCCTGGGAGTCTTCCATAACCTTGAAATTTGGCTCTCTCCGCTCAGCTTTTCCTCCTTGCTCTGCGCCTGTTTGGAGCCGCTCACCGAGCCCTGCCGCACACCGTGCCGCAGGGCTGGAGGTACCCAGGTCAGCAGCCTCTTCGCAGGGAGCGTCACGGCCAGCCCAGGTGCTCCCCGTCTCCCACAGCGGGGTGGGTGGCCGCTGGCCGGCTGAGGCATTGGCTGTGACAGCAAAGAAGCTTCAAGAATTAAGGTGGTACTTGGTATTTCATGTATGCCCATAATTTACAAAAAAACAATCACCTGCACCCAGCCTGTAACAGCAAGGCTTTGGGCTGTTTCCCCTTGTACACTGGGCCATTCCGACCCGCTACCCCATGCCAGGCACTTGGGCATTTGCTTATTCATTCTGCTTTTCACCTCTCACAGGAGAGCAGAAAAAACTCGCTGGGCGCCTCAGCCAGGGCAGTGCCTGTTTTTGCAACAGCCGCTCTTACCACCGCTACGATTTGCTGCTCCAGCCTGCAGGCCCTGGGACTGAAGGTAATGTGTGTGGGCAGAGAAAGGGCATCTGCCTGTATCGCCCCGTTTCAGTACCACCCTCAGTACCACCCATGGGAGTGTGTGGTTCACTGCTAACCCCCAAACTACAAGGAAAGAACACTCCAGAGAGGGAGAGACTTGCAAATCCCCACTAATGCCCTCGCTGCCGCAGGTGGGCTCAGCACTGAGCATCCCTGACCCCATCGCCCTCTTCCTTCCCGTTCCTTATCTGTCAATTCGTTACCTCTGAAATGCTTCTCCAGCATCTGCAGCCCTGGTGCTTGTGGGACATGTACCCACACCCAGCTTGCTGCAGCATCTCAGGAGTTCTTATCCCATAAAGGGCTTGGCAGGGATAAGACTTTGGATTAGAGGGGGTTGTAGTCTCGGTTTTCAACACATGTAAAATGAGATACGTGTGGAGCCTCAACACATATGGGGAGTCCGGCTGCCAGAAGGAAACAGCAGCATCTCCTCACCGTGGCACAGCTGGACATGCACAACCACCCACCTTCCCCTGCGGCTGCCCCCTCCTCTGCACACCCCACCTGCTCCCTCCCCCACCCCCCACCCCCGGTCTGCTCCCTCCCACACCCCTCAGCCCCGGTTGAAATCCCTGCCACCCCCCACCCCCAGCACATGCCTCATCATTTGTGTCTGAAAGCAAGGATTTCAGTAGCGTCTGTTGCTCAATTTCGTATTTTAAAGCAAACAGCCATCCCTCCTTCCCTTTATCTTCTAACTCTTCCCTAATAAATATGATCATCTTGCAAGACCTGAAAACCCATTTACCAAAATTCCCCTGGCAACTAATACAGTTAAACAAGCCTATAAATATAAATAATTATGATAAAAAAGCACAAAGTGCCAGACTTGGGTCAAACATACTCACACAGTGACACTAGCAACAAATAACTACACAGTGTTTGAATGTAGATGGAAAAAGCTGAATACAGAGTAGCTAGTTTGTTGCCCATAACTGTCAGACTCCTAATTTGGACAGGCCATATTTTATTGATAGCAGAACAGACACAGTCATAGTCCATCCCTACCTTTCCTGCTTTGTGAAAAATCCCATCCATCCTCAGGGAAGCAGGGATGGAAAAAGCTGTGGTGTTAACGTGAGGTGAAAGTATAAGGCAGAAAGCACAGTCTCAGGCTGTGTTTTCCATGTGTTTCTCGCACATCATATGCTAAGTTCAATTTTCCAAAAGCTTTGTTTTATTTTTAAAGGTAACATCTTTATTATTATTATATTTATTAGTTGTTATTATTATTATTATGCAGAGATGAGATTTTTTCCCCCTTTGATCACAGAGCAAACAGTTTGCTTTTGAAAATGTTAATGGAGTCCTGATTTAAAACATTTTTTTCTTCACTTTTTTTTGTGTGTTTGTTTTTTAAAACGTTGCAACAGGCAGGATCTGGGGTTCGATTTTCCTCATCTTACACAAAGAAAGATTCTGGAGTTCGGACTCCTAGCCACTACCGGTAGGTCCTGCCTTGCTCAGTTGTCGTCGTCTCAGTGTGGTTTCGCCAGGCGGGGTGGGTAGGTGGGTGGGAGGGGAGGAGCTGGAAGAAGGGAGGGTATTTGTCAGCTATGTCGAGTCTTGGTTAACAACTTTGCCTCCATTCATGGTTGGTGTCCCTGAACTTTTTCTTGAGCGTCCTTGTTTTTCTCCAATTTCATGCAGCGATGGCTCTCTGTACATGCACACTGCAAACAGAAAAGACACCCGTTAACAGCTCTGAAGTCACAGAGGTTAGTGGCCATAATGAATTATTTCTTTGTATATGAGGCTGAAATTCCACATGGGACTGAGTATAGTGACAGCAAGCCAGGAGCCATCTCAGCTCTGTGTGGTCACCTGGCAGCACCTGAGAACAGGGTGGATGGAGGGCACCTTCTCTCCAGACCCTGTCTAAACAATGCATGTCCTATAAAAATGTACGTGCTGGAGCCTAGACAGCCTGAGAAGGCAACATCTGCCCAAGGCATGTCACATCCCCATGTGCTGTGCAGCATAAAGCATTTATCCAACTCACCACGTGGACAAAGTCCTCATGGCTGTCCTCATGCCGTGTGAGGTGTGCCAGAGCAGGGGCACATGCCGAGCAGCTCAGCGTCTCACACCAAAGGAACCATCTCTGATGAGCTCACTGCAAATGTGGTGGGGTGTAGATGTGACTGAAATAGTGAGGCATCTCAAGGGCAGGCACACTGGAGTTGAGAACTTGAGGTAGGTCCAGGCTGCAAATGTCATGCCTGGATCTTTCTTTACAAAAATTAGGATAGAAAGAAATGATTGTGTACTGCTTCGTTTTGTAAAGCTGCCACATCACAAGCAATGGCACAGAGCTCAAACACAGGGGATAGAGCCCATCAGGTTTTGGTTCCGGGTAATCAAGAAAAACAAAATTTCAAAAATTATCTGAAGAAATGAAAAAAATACCCCATGTCTAAAACGGCAATGTGAGCGCTTATATTTATAACCTCCCGATTTGCAAATAAATCCTGGCAATTAGAGGCAAGCTGTAAATGACATTATTGCTCTGCATTTTACTCCTAGCTAGATAAACAGTTATAGCAATGTGCAACAATACAGGACAGAGATAAAGTGCAGTCAACTGTGTATTAATAGAAGGGATACTGCATTGAATATATGAGCAGTGAAAAAATATTACTTTTCCCATGGAGCATTTCTCATGCAAGGCTTTCAAAGCAGTTTAAACAAACACACACACTAGCTGGGCCCCCCAGCATGGCTGCAAACTGCTCTGCAAACTGTTACTGCTACCGGAGCTATTTTTTGATGAAAATGAGAAAAAAGAGAAAATGAGTGACTTGTCCCATGGGTCTGGGCCAGGATGAGCTGCCCAGACTATCAATGCTGTCTGCATGCTGCAAGGGAAGTGTGTAGCATGGCAGCAACAGAAGGACAAGGGCTCTCACATCCCCGCTGAGCTGCCCCTCATACCTTGACAAGTGTCACTCAACGACCTGGTGATGGTGAATTTGCCTGTTGTGGCAAAGTACCTAGTAAAATCTTAAAGAACAGTATGAAAAGGTTAACAACCGAGGAGAACCCATGCCCTTGTGACTTCTTAGCCTGAGTTGCAGAACCTTTTGATGATGCTGAGGATGCACATCACTTCCGTGACCGACCTTATTCTCTGACCTGATGTTTGCCCAGCAGAGTTGGGTTATTTGTGCCGGCATTGCCTCAGTGCCCCTGACATTCCATGCACTAACTTCTGCCTCAGGTGCAGTGTTGTCTTCACCCTGACCTGTCTCGTCCCAGGCTGGAGCTGGAGGGACCTCCATGAGCTCTTCCCCTGGGCAGCTGCACGTACTAAGCTCATCTATCTCACTCGCATCCATTCTGAACACCCCATCGGGCTGGGCCAGATGCTTAAGGACAAGGGCTGAGCCCGAGCAAAGCTCACAGCAGCAGCACCACGACACATTACCTTTCCTCAGCTCCCTGCCTCTCACCATGGCCTTTGGGCACAAATGCTAAACTGCTAACAAGGCCCACAGAGTAATGAATATAAATCAGGCTACAGAAGTAAACAACATTTGCAGCTAAAAATTAAGGAAACCCTGTACCTAGCAAGCAAATAGGGCAGGAATTTTAAGTTTATCTTCCAGTCTCGTGCATGATACGAGTACTGACATGGGGCAGGGCTGGAGGCTGCTCACATTGTGCTTTTCAGACAGAGTTGTCAAAGCCTCTGCACGAGATAGGCTGTGCCAACAGACCATGCCAGAAAATCTGTAGCACGCTAGGACAAGCATATTTTCAGTGTTTAGAGACACCTACAGTATCAGTGTACACAGCATTTAGACTTGTGTGCATGTGCTGAGCTATGGCCATCGCTCAGTGGCAGCGGCAAACCCACGTGCACCGCGACACACAGGTGTGTATGCGCACAGCTACACGCGCGTGGGGTTTTAAGGACAGTGTGACATGTTGTGCAACACAAGCTCTCGGATTGCAGTTTGTTACTGCTTGTACTGAGGAAGCTTGTGACTCACGCACGGAGACATTAGTCATGGACCGGGGAGGGGGTGTGTGTTTGCAAATGGACTGTTGTGAGTACCCAGATTTCCCCAGCTTTAAAGTACATCTGTGTGGTTCAGGACCAGCAGCAGTCACTGACAGGCCGGTTTGGGGTCCCTGTGCATGTGTGTATGAGAAGACACACTGTCCCCGTCACCTGCCTCAAGGTAAACCAGCAGCAGTGTGACAGGCAGCGTGCCCAGACGCTTGAGAGGTCTGCTGGTGCGCACAGCATGAGGCAGCTTTGGAGGGATGAGCAATTTGGCTAAAACAAGACTCCCCTCCCTGCTTTGCCTTGCTTCTCCCACCCACCCACACACCAAACCAAATACAGCCTTAATGTCTGGAAACCAAGCTAATGCTTTGGAGCTTCAATCAGATAATCAGCTCCTATGTCCTAGATTCTAATCATCACATCCATATTCATGGTTTAATTGGAAAGTGCCGTTAGCTTGATCCACTGTAGAGCCACAGGCGTAAATGGAAGGGGGTGAGCGGGAATGGAGCCGTGCCCATAGCTGGTTCTTGCGGCTTTCAATTCCCTGCTTCCCTGCTGACCACAGCGCCTGCCATTTACACGCACAAGGAAATAATTTTGCACAAAGAAACAACTCGCAAAGTCGGCAGGAAGGAGACTGGGGGTACAAGCAAGGGGGAAGGGGGCGGTGGGGAGCATCCTTCCTGAAGGCGAAGGCATGGAGGGGGCTGCCTGTCACCCAGGAACAGCTCCATCTCCCGCCTATGCGCTGGCACAGGATCCCAGCTTCATTTCTGCTTCCCAGGCATGGCCCTGGCACACCACCCACACGGTGAAACCAAAATCACCCCGTGCGGCTTCCCCGAGCGTCAGGGACCGCCTGAGTTTGGGAAGCACACATCGTTCTGTGTCCTGATCCTAGCATTTCCCACTCGGCATCGCTGCAAGTCGAGGAGTCTGAGGGGATGCAACAAACTCCATTTCCTTTCCCTAGAACACAGGGAGAAGCTTATTAAAGGACCTTAGATATATCCTATCCATCCAGCTTCACTCCTGGCTTTCCCTGCCCCAAACCCTAATGAGTTAGGAGGAACCAAACTTTTTCCAAGCTGCCGTTTCGCAGGCAGGCAGGTCGCCAGCCCTGCAGGATAGCAAGCCGCCCCGAGGGCCGCTGGCGGGGCAGGGGCGGGGACACGGCGCCTGGG